ATGCATCCAAGTGACAGACATGTACAAAACATATACAGGCCATATACAAAATAAAGGATCAATATCGTGATCCATCAAATGCGGAAATACTAAAAGACAACAAACACTCCAAAAGGTAGTAGCCTACAGCCACTCAAAATCCGATCTGTCAACTGCCTCAGCCATGTGTCGTATCCCTGCCTAGTGAGGACTCACCGGGAATCTGGGCACCTGAAAATATGTCCCCAAGAGGGGTGAGATTACAAATCTCAATAAGCTCCAGGTTTATAGAGAATTCTCCATACCCCTGGCTCACTCCTGCATGAAAGTCAGATACAGAGTATACAAATACAACATATAACAGATATTATAACAGAACAGATCATATATCCATATCATATCAGAGATGTGCGCCGTCATTCCCAAGGGAGGACCCCAAGCGGAAATCAACGCACGTGTTCCCGAGGGAGGACCCCAAAACGGAACCAGACATATCAGAGGCGTACACCATCAGTCCCGAGGGAGGACCCCAAAGCGGACATCCGGGTACTATACAATCAATGGCTAGAGATTGTTACAGAAATCACATTACAGAAGTCATATCAGAGCAAAACATATCATGTTATCAAATAACTCTATATGAATCCATCTATACAAAGCATCTAAATCACAGTCATACAGTCCAACCATAGTTCACTAACCATGGTGGAGCACTCAAGCAGGAAAAGACTCCTTAAACATAGAGCTTACCTCTTGAAGCTTTACCAATACGCTTACTTGTGGAACAAGTTACTTTTATCGCTTCAAGAGATTTCCGATCCTTCTCAATCCCTAGGCACACCTAGAGAATAATTTACAATGCATCAATAAAATGATGCAATACCATGATTATTTCATAAGCATACATTTTATCGCTTATTTTCCTTTCTTTATATTTTTGCCAATTCTATGCCAATACACAAGTCTAGACCTCTATACACCCGTTGGCGTTCTTTAATTAAATCAAGCATTTACTTAAGAATTTTTCACATAAATCATGCTATTTTTCTTTAAAAGTCGCGGGCATACCCTTAGGGACTCAAGGTATTTTTCAACCATTTGTCAAAGCATTTCACTTCTTAGCTCATCCATTGGTATATTAAAATGCAACACATTTTATTAGAATAAATTGTAACCAATATATATATACCCCTAAACATCCTATAGTTCGCAACATAGAGCAAGTATTTGTAGGATTTTTTCTAACTTTGGCATTTCCACCAATTAATCCATTTACACTACATTCCAACATATTTTACCTTTTCAAACATACAATAAAAATTTGCATGATGAACCCTATATAAGCCATGAAGGCCGAAACCTAGGGGAAAAGTGCACTAGGGCTTTTCAATTTTTTTATCACAAATTAATGCTTACTAAACACTATCATTCCTAACCAACAACAATCCATCATAATTTTCACCTTCTAACATCAAATATTTCCCACTCAAAACATGCTCCAAATTTTCAAAACATAGATCACAAAATAATACCATAGAAATAGAGGTTTCTTACCTCTAATCACTTGTACAAAGCCTAGAGAATAACCTCCAAGCAAAGCTCCATCAAAAACCCACTTTTTCTCCTCCTATGAATAGTAATCCAAAAATAAGAGGAGGAATAACTCTTCACACACTCAACTATAGCTCAAATGGATAGGTGCAATGGATTCCTTGAGTGGTTCCTAATCAATTTCAAGTGGTGGGTCATAAGATTTGGTTGAGAATTCAAGAAGAAATCAACAAAACAAGCAAAACCCTAACCCCCCCTTTTCCATGGCTGAAGCTCGGCCCTTCAAGAGAGAGAAGAAGAAATTTTTGCAATGAATAGTGATTCATTTAAGTGGCCAAGCTATTTAGGCACATGTGGCCCTTTTGTCGGATGTTTTTCTATCGCGTATTTCACTTAAATTTACCCGAAACTTAACTTAAAGCTACAGATATATTTTTATTTTTCTAAAGTTATTTAAATTAATTTTTATTTCCTACGGAACAATATTCATAATTCACAGTATGGTTTTTGCACCGTTTTTAACGAAATGCACTGTGAACCACTAATTGTACTTTATTTAATTCTGAAACTTAACACTTATAAACTTATCATTTTCTTGGGCCTATATTGACTTGCTTGGCATATATTGGACTTTCCTATTCTTATTTCATCAATTATTTGTTTCTGGACTCTACCGGTTGCTTACACAGCAGTACAAAATACCCGGTAAAAACACTATTCACGAGATTTTCATGGAAAGTGCTAGACTATACAATTTTTCATTCTGAACTCATATTTGTCGTCAGAATTATCAAATTATGTCTCTAAAATTATTTTGCTCTTTTTAAGCTCTACCGGTTAATTCACAAAACTGTAAATTCTCCGGCAGAACGCACTGTTCATAACATAGTCATGATTACAGTCAAAATACTCGAAATCACTCACTAAATCTAATTATGGCATTTAAATCCTTAAATTAAATCTCTAATTAAGATTTACCCTATAGGGTCATTATATAATACGTCGGGTGCACACAGGGTGTTACAGCTATATTATTTCATTATTGCAACTAAATACAATTTAAAAGTCCAATCTTAATGGTTTCAAACAAGGTGTTCGCTGCTCATGTTTATGGCCACATACCTGATTTTCATGACCATTGTTGCGACCCTTCATTTGTTGAGGAAACGAAGGTAAACTAATTTTTCAGTAGTGAATTTGTTCACATAAGCATTCCTAAGAACAAATATATCACTAATTCATTGATTTCAAAAATTTTCTTAAGGAATACCCAAACAACTTCCTCTATTTAATGAATTTCATTTATCATCAAAACTCAACCCCAATATACTACCAGTTACATCAAGGGTTACACAAAAGCCAAAATACTTGGTCTAAAAAAGTAGACAACCAGTTGAATAGGAGAACACCATTATAATATTTAGTGCACTATGTTCTCGCGAGAGAACTTAGTGCACTGGCCGGTCCAGTCACTTAATTTTCATTTTTCCCATATATATATGGAAAAATTAAAAATTCAGTCACTGGACCGTCCAGCGCACTAAGTTCTCCCGCGAGAACTTAGTGCAATAAATATTACAATGGTGTTCTTCAATGTTCTCCCGGAAGAACATAGTGCACTGGACCGATTTTTACATCCAGTCACTGTACACTCACTAAACCCTATATATATATATATATATATATATATATATATATATATATGGGGTAAACATTTCTACAACCACTTTAGATAAGGTTATCTACAGCTACCCAAAAACTACGTCGTTTTGATTAATGAAGAGTGTTTCTGTAATTTTAAGTGAATTAATGAAGGGTGTTTTCGTAATTTTATTTATTTTTTATTATATACATTTTACTGAAACACCTTTCATTAATTCACCTAAAATTACAGAAACACCCTTAATTAATCAAAACGACGTAATTTTTGGGGTAACTGTAGATAACCTTATCTAAAGTGGCTGTAGAAATAAATTTTTGTTCTCTTTCTCTCTCTCTCTCTCTCTCTCTCTCTATATATATATATATATATATATATATATATATATATATATATATATATATATATATAGGGGTAGGATATTCTTACACCGGTGTAAGAGTTAGAAGTCTTACACTCAATCTTAACCATTGATCCACTTGTATCCAATGACTCACTTTACTAAAAAATTTGAACCCTTAGATATAAGTGGGATCAACAGATAAGATTGAGAATGTAACTTACACTAGTGTAAAATGATCCTGACTCATATATATATATATATATATATATATATATATATATATATATATATGAGTAGTTCTAGCAAATGCACTTGAAGACTAAGAAAAATAAGGAAACTTCAGACTGTCTTAATTATTGAAAAGAGCAACGACAACTTTCTCAACCACTCTAGTCTCAAAAAACCCTCTCTTATATTGAATGGTACCTCAAGAACTAAATTGGAGTAAAATTTGGTGGCTTCTCAAGTACCAGAGCACTGAGCACACACAAAAAGTTAACGTTGACGAAGGAGATGAAACAGTAACTTGATTGGCTAATGGTATGATGGCAACAGAGAAAGGGATATGGACGAGAGAAGGAGATGGAAAAAAAATTAATGTTAAGGATGGAGAGAAAAAAAAAATGGAGGAACTCACGTGACTATTAAACCAAATAAATTGTGACCTTTAGATTTAAAATAAATGTAGAGTTAAGATAAGGAATAAGATTTTAAATCCTACTATAGAGTTAAAACATCTCTCCCCTATAAAGAAATTTGTTTGGGGCATCTAAATATCACGAATTTGAACCTGTAAGAAAAGCAAATAAAAGGAAATGCCCCCTTAGTATTCCGATAAATAATTAGTGCTATACACAAAGAGTTGGAAAAACCTCATAAAAATAAAAAATAACTTTTGAAATTTTTGCGGTATTCCACCAATAACTGTACCAAATTTAGCCACCAAAGAAAACCAAAGGGGAAGAAAAGTAACGGATGCAAGGATTAACGTTTTATTGGCCCATTGAAATTGTGAGCCCTCCATGATTAACTTGTCTTAAGCGGGCCAAATTAGTTGTTTTACTCACCCAAATTAATAACTATAGAACCTTCACATCTATATGATTAACAAATTATGTAGACCAAGGCAATCGACAATTTATACAAGAGCTTAATTTTGACACTAGTGTAAAGTTTTTTTTTTTATATATCATCACTCAATCCTTTATTATTACATTACTATTTAATCATACATGATTGAGTGATAGCAGTGCATCAAAATCAAATCTTTAATCCCAAATTATTTTACATTAAATAATTAGATAAATTTACGTGTTATATAACTTTATATTCAAAGTAATAATATAAAGTATTCATTGACTGAGTTGTATGAACATTAAACCTTTAAAAAAGAAATTCAAAACTAAAATAAAAAAGAAAGTCGAGTCTTATGCTAGTCTCCCACAAAAATTCCAATTCAATAGTGGATCAAGCTTGGGAGAGTTGCCAAACGTTCATAGGTGAAATGTCATTGGTATCACCATTTAAGAGTCGCTTTGCGATGATAACATTGGTTGCATCACTAGGATGATAAGTATCCCAGAAAACGTACTTAGATCTATCCTCACAAACTTCTGAATTACGATTGCATGGGATCAAGCCTCCAAATCGACCAGCCAGGTGACAGCATGCTGAATTAGGATTCTCGAAACCTGTGGCACAATAAAATGGTTGGTTCTTATTCATAAAGGACCATGCAAATTTAGATACTTCAAATAAAAAACTTGGGACATCGAAAACAGTGACACACCATATGCATTGTAATTCAGTAGGATATCTTCGACAATGTGGTAAACATCTGCATAAACAAATAAAGACCCTTCTAGGTTTGTTCTCAGCTCTTCAATAAGGCTCTTCAATTGGGTGTTGAATAATTTAGCTAGCTGATCGGGGAAAGTGACACAGTCATCTCCAGCATCAGGGTTAAAATCCCTCATATAGGGTATACACCCTATAGGCCCTACATTTGCCACAAAAATTTTTCTGGCTCCTAGACTGAATAGCCGCTGCAGATAGTAAATAACATAACATGTGCGTGATATCAACTAAGAAAATGGAAACATTTTAGAAACAAGCTTTCTAGGTTCTTAGCAAAATTACCATAAGCTGTAGTCTGAGCCTTGATATCATGATGGCCACAAATGATTCTGGAGATACCAACTCTCTCTCCGGAGTTGAGATTATAGGTGTCAAATAGTTATCAAGGAAATCATTTGAGCCAAATGCTACTGAGAAAAGGGCCTTTTTAAACAAATTGAGAGTTGCAGGGACACCAATTATTGAGATAATTTCTTCCCTGGTATTTGCAAAGTTATCAATCTGTGCATCAAAGTTGATTCGACCACCCTATTAATCACATGAAGAATCTACCATTTATTATTCAGTATTTAAGTAGTATAAAGACTAAATTATGTGCAACTCATTCTCTAATGAAATATAAATAAAAAGAAAATAAACTTATGACTCCTGAAACATGACAAATAAAAGGAGAAAGGATAAGGCTGTTTGGTATGGTTGATACTTGATACTAAATCTACCAATGGAATGATACTGAGAAATCAGTTCAAAATTGAAATTTGAAGTACTTTAAATGCGCCCAATAATTGGACTTAGAACTAAACCAAATATTAGTTGAAGCAAAAACTTACAAAAATTTCGCCAGAGTTATTTAGAATTCCACCTGCACCAGAGGCATAATTGACACCCCTTAGAACCGTGGATCCAGCAGTAGTGGGAGATAAGTAAGGAGGAGTAAAGCAAAGTCCTAGTTGCTGCTCTGGTAGTACACAATGTTCAAAGAGAAATAGTAATTGATAATTCAAAAAAAGAAGAAGATATAACCTAAGACAAACTTGGTAACTCTCACCTATAATATCAATTATTGTTCTTCCATTAGTGAAACGGCCTGTGGGCATTCCAAAATCAATTCCATAAGGGTCATAATTTGCTTTGGCCAGTGAAACAATGTAGTTGTTGTTCCCCACATCGATCAGGGAATCTCCAAAAACAAAAGATGCTGGAATAACATTTGAAAAGCCAATCCTGAACAAGAGTAAGACCATAAAAACTCGAAACATAGTTCCAAGAATGACTCTTCTGTTCAAATAAATGCCCATCATAAAAGGACAACAAAGAAAATGAATTAGATGAACTTTTCAAGCAGAACCTCTGTTTTGTTCTGCTTCTCCCCTTAATGGATGTGTCACGGAATGAATATAATAATTGCAAAAGATCAAGGAAGAAAAGAAAGTACAAATAATTGCCTCAAACTGTTACTCTTGTTGATGTATATATTGGACCCATACGGAAATTTTATAATATTGATTGCAAGTTGTATGAACCGTGTGAAGAATGAGCTTAATTGTTTACCTACGAGGGAAACGAGTGAGTCAATAAATTAACAAGAGATGGCAGTGTAGTAATAAAATTTATTATAACTATGCATATTTTCTTCATAATTTTAATTTTTTATCTTTTAATATATATATATATATATATATATATATATATATATTTTAGATTCTACTTAAATTTATTATATATGCATTTCTTATAAGGGATAAGATCCGTTTACAAATCTTTTTTTGTAAATTACACTAAGTACGACCGGTCGTACACTGCATGATTAAAGTATGACCGGTCGTACTCAGTGTAGTTTGTAAGAGTTTGTAAACAAAAAAGTTTGTAAATATAACATGTCTCTTCTTATAAATTTAAATATTTTTACCTCGCGCGGCTAAAATTAGAGTAAGATTGAGTATCACATGTTTACGGTTACAGCTATGCTATTATACTCAAATTGACTATGTCCATTGTCACCGATTCAATCAACAGATTCAATCAACAGATTCAGAGAAGGAAAATAAGGACAAATAGATTTTTTTATGAAATGAATTGACTATTTGATAAATAATTGTTTCTATTATTTTATTTTAATCAAACAACTACATTGTATTTATCTGAATTTTGTCCAAATTCCGATTATCTTCTGGCTGTAAGCACTACTTCTCGAGAGTTTTGGGTTACCATCCCGTGTGGTTTGTTATTCATGAACTTGCGTTTTCCACGCGTGCATGTTTTTTGTTGTGCCATGAAATTAAAATTACTATTGTCAGATAGAAAATATTTAGCGGAACCGATGTAATATATGGTTTTGGAAAACACAACTAACTACCTTTCTCTTAGATGCTAACAGAGAGGATCCTGCAAAACGCAATTAATTAAAAAATTCTAAATATTTTTATTGTTCAGAGGATTTTGGAAAACACAAAGTGGTAACGTTAAAACTAATCCCTTGTTGCATGCAACCACATAAGGAACTTTTGGACGCCCTCCAATATAGAGAGGACATTGTAACCACTCTTGTATTAAACATTCAATTTTACCTTCCTAACATCTTAACTCCAAAAATAAAGAAAGTCCTTTGCACTTAAGAACCTCCAATTTTCCCATACTTGTGCCTCACAAAAACCAAGGATTCTCACATGGCTTCTTTGTCGCTTTCATCTTTGCATGCTTCAACATTCCTCTTGGCAATTCTCATTTTCATCTTGTTTTGCATGCCATATTGTGTTCTTGGCTATGATGCACAAACGGTCATAGACTCTCCTATGTTAACAGAGAAGTTAGGAATTAATCGCACTATCAAAGTAGATATCAACGGCAATGGGGAATTCAAATCTGTCCAAGCTGCCATCGATTCCATTCCTGAAGGAAATTCTAATTGGGTCATCGTTCATGTTAGGAAAGGAGTATATAGGTACAAAGTTATTATTATTATCTTCTTCTTTTTTCTTTAATCATACTTGGTAGCTAGTAATTATTACATGAGAAGCTTAACTTGCTAATTATTCAATTTTCATTTTGATCATGCGAAGGGAAAAAGTGCACATACCAAAGACTAAGCCTTATATATTCTTGAGAGGGAATGGAAGAGGAAAAACTGCTATAGTTTGGTCTGAAAGCTCTTCTGACAACATAGCTTCTGCTACCTTCAAAGTCGAAGCCCATGACTTCTTTGCCTTTGGAATTAGCTTCAAGGTCAAATCTGTCTCTCTCTATATATATACTTAAAAACTTTGCAACCCTGAATCTACCTATTCATATGATCTTTATTATGATTTTAAAAAATTTCCTCTTATAACGATGGGTTAAAATTTGTACAAAGTTGTTGTAACGATTCATTTTCTTTGATCAAAAGAAGTAAAGTTTTAAACTTATTTTCCTGTTCTTGCATTGTAGAATGAGGCACCCACAGGGGTTGCCTATACCTCGCAGAATCAATCAGTGGCAGCATTTGTGGCAGCAGACAAAGTTGCATTTTACCATTGTGCATTTTACAGTACTCATAACACTCTCTTTGATTACAAAGGAAGACATTACTATGAGTCTTGTTATATTCAAGGCTCAATTGATTTCATATTTGGCCGTGGCAGATCCATCTTCCATGTAAGTTAGCTTTGTCTAATTTATATCCCTTTTAATTTCCTAATATTGATTATTGACTAAACAAAGCAACAATAACTATGAATCATGTCCATTTCAATGCAGGGCTGTGAGATATTTGTGATTGATGACAAAAGGATAACAATTCATGGGTCAGTCACAGCTCAAAACAGGGAAAGCGAACCTGAGATTAGTGGGTTTATCTTTATCAAAGGCAAGGTTTATGGCATTGGAGGGGTGTACCTAGGAAGGGCCAAGGGTCCTTATTCTAGGGTCATTTTTGCTAAGACATACCTATCAAAGACCATTGTCCCAGAGGGGTGGACCAATTGGAGCTATGAGGGTAGCACAGTGTAAGAAAATCATCAATTCTACTCCTCCTAGTAAAAAATTAGTATTATGTTGAATAGAATATTAGCCATTAATTTTGGTTATTTGATAATGCAGAAATCTATTCCACGCGGAATACAAGTGCCATGGACCTGGAGCCACTACAGAGGGACGTGCTCCTTGGTCAAAGCAACTAACTGATGAACAAGTTGCACCATTTTTATCTGTTGATTACATTGATGGCAAGAATTGGTTGCCAGTTTGGCAATAATCAAGTTCGCACATGCTCTACTATGGAAAATGATGATATTCATATCAAATATAATCTTAAATACGCAGTTGGATTGTTTGTTAAGCAAAAGCATTCACTATTATGTACCCACTTTGTTTTGCTCTTTCTAGTACTTCAGATTTATGCCTAGTATTTAGATAGATTCCAAGTTGTTGAAGAATTGTTATAGGAGTATGTACGCTATGTACCTGTCTTCTTTGGCTTGTTAATATTAAGCAAGTTGATTTGTATTAAAAGAGAAACATGCCACTTTAAGGTGTGTGCTGCTTATCATTATAGATTGCTTTAATTTATCAAGTGTTGCCAAGTTAATGATGTTGGTCGTGGCTCGTTTTCGTGTAAATAAAGTAAGCCAAAACTAGCAGTGCTAGCTCCATGTTGACAAAAGGAAAATAGTAACAGTAATAACAAGCACAAGGATTAGATCATGACAAAAAAAATAAGGTCACCAATGCGGAAAAAAATTTGGTGCTCCAGTCGGTGCTGAGTGACACTTCTACAAAAGTTTATTTTTTATTTTTCCTCTCTCCGAATAAATCTTAGGTGCATCTGTTGCACCTAGATTTAGTGCATCATACCAATGGAAGTATTACATATCAGAGGATAGAGAAAGAATTTGACAGAAAAAAAAAATTTTAACTGACATGTAATGTTTCTATTAATGTGATGCATTGAATCTTTGGTGCAGCGGACCAAAGATTTATTTCCTCTCTCCTCTCTCTTCAATAATTGTCTCATTCTAATTTATTTGAACCACTGAATATAATACAGACTTAATATAAAAAAATAAAAGAAATCTATTACAAAGATTAAGATCACCTCATTTGACTCTTATTTTACGTATTTTCTTATTGTTAAACTCATATATAATTGAATCTGTGTTAAAACTGAAACCAATTTCTTTTTTAATGTATGTAATCAAAGAATCATCAAGAAATTGGTCTTCTATTTTATTTCGAAGCTTGTTCTTGATTTTATTCTACGCATACGGATCCTGACTTTTTTTTTTTCTTTTTAAATGTTAGAATCCACATGTGTAAATATGTTTGCTACAAAAAAATTCATATGTTATTGCTGCAGAAGAGGCGAACCCATAAACAAATCATGTTGTAACATCCCGAGCTCTGACAAGGGTGGGGAGTGAACGCCGGTGCAAAGAGGCACAGACAAGGAGCGGCTCCTGACAGGCTTCCAGCGTGGGGTTACATGCATGATTGAATCGAATTGACACCCGAAAGAGAGGGATTTCAAAGACTGTGCAGGTATGAGATTGCACAGTTTGGGATAGCTTATAAGAATTAATTGGTACTACCTATGCTAATAAGATGCATCTGTTTTTCGGTGGTCCGGATCGGAAGAACTCCACCTCCTGGGAAGTTTTCCCGAGAAGTGTGCGAGTGAGGAAAAAACACACTGAAAAGTCTCGTGTTAATATGTGGGGATAGTCATTGATTCTTGAAGCGGCCGGGCGTTACACATGTTATCCATTATCAATAAATTAGATAGCCACAAAGTTATATATGTCCTTTCATTCTTTTTATAGCTAAAATTGTTGGAAATTTAAAGAGATTAAAAATAATTTAGAAGAACATACTACAATTATTTAATCTCACAATCACATGTTTGGTAGGAGGTGAAAAAAAAATTTCCTAGAAAAATGGGGTTGGAAAATTATTTGCCTATGCTTAGTAGGATTGAAGTAAAAATATGGCCGAGAAATTTTTTTTCCCATCATTTGCTTTTCTATGTAAAATAGTTTGGGAAGATTATTATTGAAGGGATGAAATTGTTTTTTTTCCCATGTGGTGGAAAAATTAACACACAATATCATTAAAATTAACTCAACATTCTCGAAATTTTTTTGAAGAGTGTTTCAAGATTGAGTCTCACGCCCCCCTTCAATGAAAATGCTTGTGCTTCCTCTTCAGTTGTCTTCTCTTGCAATTGCAGGGTGAACAATTTTCAGAAGTTTGATTTGAGCCGTTGAGGTTTTTTGCTTCCTCTTCACGCTTACGCATGTCAGTAATTCACCCACTCACACACATTTTATAATATTATTAAAATACCATTTATATATATATATAATTTTTTCCCATCAAATTTTAAGGGGGGAGGGGACCCACCTAGCCCTCCTCTAGTTCTGCCTTTGGACCTTAATGTGCTATGCATATATATATAGACGACTTGGGTGATCATCCTTGAATCTAACTTGTATCTATTTTGGGATTATAAATGTGAGGACTTAGGTGGTGTTGCTATAGCTTAAAATGGTAATGGAAATTATAATTAATTAAACCAAAATAAAATAAATTAAAATAATTATGAAACTACCTTGAAAAAGTAAATTACAGGTCATAGAAGAGCATATGGCATAGAAATTATTGTTAGGAACTTAAGTATGAGTGATAAAATCCTACATTGGGAAAGAAGGGATTAAGTAACTCAATGACTTAAAGTTTTGGATTGAGATATGAGGTAACACCTTTGTTTTGGATTTGTGACTTCTTTGACTATTAATACTAAACAATTCTTACATTCTTTAAAGAACTTCTTGCCGAAGAAGATTGTGAATGTAATTAAAGTTTAGGAAACTATGCTTAAAATAAATAGTTAACATCCTCTTAGATTGAGTGAGACAGAACTCTGCAAGTCATGTACATCAATGCCCACATATACGACAGACGATTTCGGGGCAAGTGGGTGATGACTAATGATTTATGTTCATCTCCTACCATGCTTCGTAATTAGAGTATTAAAATTCACATGTTTCCTGTTCTCTCAGTCATCAACAATTTTTATAACCAATACCCTTATAAAATACTGTGAAATCAATTTATCTTTGTAGAACATTGTAGTTTATCAAATCTCAGTTTTAGGGAACAAATAATCATGAGATGGTGAATAGGAGGCACATGTGACATTTCCTTGCAGCAGAGGTACCCTGCACAGCACTAAACACTACATATATCAAAAAAATAAATTCCTTTGATCAATACAAAATGTAGAGTCATATCCAAAATTCCCCTTAAAAACATATATATCAGCAGAAGAATCAGGTCAAATATTGAAAGAGTTGGCGAATATTCATTGGAAAAATATCATTGTGATCACCATCTAACAGGCGCTTAGCGATGATAACATTTGTTGCATCAGTAGGATGCCAAGGGTCCCAGAACACATATTTGGATCTGTCCCAACAAACTGTTGATGTAGGACTACATGGAAACGAACCTCCAAAGCGCCCAGCCATGTAACAGCAAGAGGAAGAAGGGTTCTCAAAACCTGCCACATTAAAATAAAAAATCAATTAATTCAAAAACAACATGCAAATTTAAGTTGCTAAGAGATTAATTGCCATATGAGACACACACACGCCATATACTATGTAATTATTGAGTATATCTTCTAAAATGTGATAGACATCTGCATAAACAAAAATTGAACCCTTCAGAATTGAGCTAAGCTCTGCAATCAAACCCTTCAACTGGTTGTTAAATAACTCTGCTAGCTGATTAGGGAAAGTGACACAGCTATCCCCTGAAGCTGGGTTTGTATCCCGTTGCTGTGGTTATACACCCAATAGGCCCCACATTAGTCACAATAATTTTTCTGGCACCCAAATTGAATAGCCTCTACAGATATTAATATTAATATTAATAGACATTAGTAACACCAAAATTTATAGAAACATTCAGAAACAAAGTCTCCAAGTTCCGAGAAATATTACAGTAAGTTGTTCTCTTAGCCTTGATATTAAGTTGAGAAAGAGATCTGGAGATGACAATTTCTGCTCATAAATTGAGACTGTTGGTGCTAAATAGTTATTAATGAAATCATTCGAACCTATTATTACTGAAAACATTGCCCTTTTGAATAAACTAAGAGCCGCAGGAGCACCAATGGTGGATATGATGTCTTGCCTGGTGTTTGCAAAATTATCTATCTGTGCATCGAAGTTGATTCTATCACCCTATAAAGTAAACCATTTGAACGCGTGTTACTATTTTCCTTCAAGTTTAACCAATAGTTTGAGCTTAAATAACAACTATTGAAGCAGAAACTTACACAGATATTTCCAGTGAGATTGAGGATTCCACCTCCACCAGAGGCATAATTAAAACCCTTCAGAACCACTGGTCCAATTCTAGTGGGTGCCAAGTAAGGTTGGGTTAAACCAATAGTACCTGGTGGTTGCAAGATATAGTCACTACTCATTAGACAAAATAAAATCCAAAAAACACATAAGTGAAATAAGAAGAAAAAGAAAAAAAGTTAATCTTGCCAATAATGTCAACAAGGTTCTTCCCATTTGTGAACCTCCCTGTTGAACTTCCAAAATCAATACCAAAGGGTGGGAAATTAGCTTTTGAGAGGGTAACAATGTAATTGTTGTTCCCCACATCAACAAGTGAATCTCCAAAGACAAAATTTGCAGGTGGTTTGTAACATCTCCGTCTCGAGCCGGTTCAATTAACATGCATATGATACAAACAGAAACAGCGGAAGACTTAACTTACAAAAATACGAGCTAACTTTTTAAATATAACATCCCCGTCTCGAGCCGGTTCAATTAACATGCATATGATACAAACAGAAACAACGGAAGACTTAACTTACGAAAATACGAGCTAACTTTTTCTTTTTATATTTTAATTCTTACTCGGCGGAGACGAAAATCGGACAGAGTAACCTCTATAATTCGGACAACTGGGGATTTTTCAATCCCACTCACAAGAGTTCCTGATAGACAGATTATACAGCAGATACATTCAGAAGTACCAGACATCCAAATATAATCATAAACCCATCCATGGCCACATGCATAGTTTGGCTCCATGCCACTAATCTAACAGCATGCAATCCAATACGTAAAACATAACTGAATACTACATAGTCATATCCACATGCCTGAATACACAAATGTACATGCATCAAACTGAAGGACATGTACAAGACATATACATGCCATATACAAAGTA